TACTATGGGGAAAAAAAAAAAGAGGTAAAGTAATATAAGGTCAGAGTCCCTGGGTGGTGAAATGGTTAATGTGGTTGGTTATGCTACCCAGAGGTTCCTCAGAGGAAAGGCCTGGTGATCTTTCAAAAAAAATCAACCACTGAAAACCATATGGAACACACAGTTCTAATGTAACATATGGGACTGCCCTAAGCAGAAACTGACTCCACAACAAGTGGTGGTTTAACATAAAGCCAAAGACATGACACTGGATTTGGCAGCAAGAAAACACTGAAGACATCATGAGAGAGGAATGGAGTGGAGGGGGCAAAAAGGAAACTAGAATGCACTGAGGAGATGGAAATTGAGAAAGTGAGATAGTGAACATATACAACTAACAAGTTTTGCTGGAAAAGTGAGTAAAAATCAAAGTTGTTCCTTTTTTTTTTTCCTCCTAAGATAGCAGACACAAAAGCATGTTTGTATACTGTTAATATCAGAAAGGAGATAGTGATGATAATAGAGCAAAATCTTTAAGAAAAAGAGTGGAAATGGGATCCAGGTCAGAAATGCTCAGAAGAGTTTTGATCATGGACACTTCTTTTTTTCACAAAACAGAAGGCAGGGTCAGGTTAGGGTGTAGGAAAGTAAAGGAGGTTCCTTCTAAGTGCTTTCATTTTCTCTGCAGAAGAAAGGTTAGGACATCAGCTGTGGGAAGAACAAGGAAGAATGCTAAAGATATGAGAAGAGAAAAGCAAGTTTAAAATGGTCACATAAGAGTGAAAAGGGTAAAAGTATTATGACCAAAAGACAATGCTGAGTGAAAAGTGTAGAAATGTGATCATAAATTTAAAGTGAGACAGAATGTCTCCAGCATGCCTCAGCTGACTAGGCGTAGCATCACTGAAGGGAAACAGTAGGGTTTCATCAAATTTGAAGTTTTGTCAGGTTATTTGCAACAGAGGAAGAGTTTGGGATATTTGTGGAATGAGTAATTACAATGACGTACCCTTAGATTTCAACTGGTTAGGAAGGGAAGTAAGGATTTAGTGGGGCTAACAGTGGAAGGAATAAAAAGGAAAATCAGAGAGGGGTCTGTAGATTAGAATCTCGGAACAGAATAAATGCTGCAGAAGAAAGGAAGTTTTGGACAGAAAGAAGAATGTCTAAACTGAGATTACAGGCATAGTGCAATTAACAGTGACAATATTAAAGATGTGACCTTGAGATTGAGGACCAGAGGTCTAGGAGATACAGTTAACATCTAACTATTGTGACTATTATTCTTCACTTGTGACATGCAGTAGTTATGATACCCTTCATTAGCTAAGGTTCTATGGCTAACAGGTTATCAAAGAATACTCACCCAGAATTTGGCCAGTGAGTTGCTTCTCCATAGCTGTAGTTAACAAGATCACACTTATGATTTATAGCTTCTATCATCTATTAAGAAAATTAAGAATCTAGTTTAGGTGGCAATTATATTTATAGAAAAAGATTAGCCAGTACAATCAAGGTATGTAATATCATAATTTATAAACCAATCATATTTTAATTCAAATGTATAAGTTACATTTAAATCTGCATATCATGATAAACTTGGGGCAAAAAAGGAAGGGGAGACAACATAGCACAGGAAGTACTCAAAAAAATAAAATGAGCACTTCAACAATGGACTGGGGAAAAGAGAGACAGAAAGAATGGAATAGTCTTTGCTAGCTTTTAAAATCACTAAAGGCAAAGTAATAAAAATACAATTCGTATGTTAAAATGGAGTATAGATTTTTACTTTCTCTCAGGCTGATGGAGCAAGCTGGCTAAGAGGGTTTTATTTTGTTCAGTATTGTTTTTTAAGCATCTCAAAATTGCTTGCCAGGGGATTTATTAGAAATGACTAGTATAAAGTATTTTCTTCATGAGAGTTAATCCAAAACACTTTATTCTGATAATTTTGATAAAATACTCACCCTGTCACTCTCAATCATTTCACTCTTTAGTGTAATCTTGCCCCTTGTCTTCCTGCTTTATTGTCTTATTTACCTAACTGCATTCCTTCCTCTCCTTTGACATCCTCCTTTTTCATTTTAAAATGAATTAACAAGCACTTATCTTTTTAAAATAAAGTCTTACATACTAAATATCATTCACTGTGTTCTTAGTAAGCTAGGAGCATGTTATAAATCTAAAAATGTTTTAATAATCATCAATTATTAATCTTCAAAATGGACAACTCAGAAATACTCACGGCTCTGATGAGGCCTGTGCCTGTTTCCATTGTGCTTAGTCTTGTATCACCAATCTTGATCGCAAGAATCTGAGCACCTGGAGCTACACCATTCCGCTCTGGTTCTTCTGGAAAATGCCCAGCAGCTATGCTAGCTACATGTGTCCCATGAGCTCCTAGAGAGAGAAACAGGGAGAGGGGAAGATTGACAGAATATTCTCATATACTCAAAGTTTCAACCATGCAGTTCAATTTGCATATTGTCAATCATAATAAAAATAACCTAAAATATACCGTGATCTTTATTACATTCTCTTACCAATAATTCACAAATATTAAAGTATCTTTAAATATATACTATTCTGCTACCCTTGGATTATGTAACTTCCCCTCCTTGTATTTCGTACCATTTAGACAGTTAAAAACTAGCAACCAAACACTTGTGGACCTATTACTATAGTATGTACAGTAGAGAACACCAAGGAGCTCTGGTGGTATAGTGGTGAAGGCATTTGCCTGCTAACCAAAAGGTCAGTGGTTTGAATCCACTAGCCATTCTGTAGAAGAAAGATGGAGCAGTCTGCTTCTGTAAAGATTTACAGCCTTGGAAACACAATAGGTTTACTATGAGTTGGAATCAACTCAAGGCAGTGAGTTTGGTTTTTTGGTTGGTAGACAATAACAAATAACTAAAATTCAAAGGGGAGCTCTGGTAGCATAGTGGCTAAGACACCTGCCTGCTAACCAGACGGCTGGCGGTTCAAACCCACCAGCCACTCCTCGGAAGGAAGGTTGGGCAATCCTACTTCCGTAGTGATACTGCCTCGGAAACCCAAGGAGGGGTCGCTATGAGTCGGGGCCAACTCGACAGCACATAACAACAACAACAAAATTCAAGGAGTTTATAATACTGTAGGCAAAAAAGCATTTACAATATAGACTACAGGATGCAAAATCACAAGAACTACCTACTACAGTGTGTCACATCTACAGGAATTCATCTGAAAGAGCAACTGGGATATGATTATCACTAAAGGCACTGTGACCTATGATAAAGGTGACATGTACTGTCCAAGAGGGAGGCCAAGATTGGTCTTTTCAATAAATGGTGCTGAGTTAACTAGATATCCAATTGAGGAAAAAATTATCTTGACTCCTATCTCACACAACATTAACAAAAAAACAAACTCTTGCAGTGTGGATACTAGTGTGAAAGGAGAAATAAAGCTTCCCAAAGATGGGAGCTCTGGTAGTGTAGTACCTAAAGGCACTTGACTGCTAACCAGAGGCTGGCGGTTCAAACCCACCAGCCACTCCTTGGAAGGAAGATGGGGCAATCTACTTCCGTAGTGATACTGCCTCGAAAACCCAAGGAGGGGTCACTATGAGTCGGGTCTGACTCGACGGCACATAACAACAACAACAACAAAGATAAAAATAAGAGAACAATTTTATGACCCTGCAGTAGGCAAAGATTCTGTAAATAGGACATAAAAAAACCCAACAACCATTAAAAAGAAAAAGAAAAAAAAAAAGGACCAACAAAGTGGACAGTGGACCATGTTAAAACTAGGAATTTCTACTCACTGAAACACTATGAAGAAAACAAAAATGCAAGTCACAAAGAAAATATCTGAAATGCATATAAATAAAAAAGAATTTATATAGGTATGTATGTTGTTGTTGTTATGTACCATCAAGTCGGACCCGACTCACAGTGACCTTTCCTTGGGTTTCCAAAGCAGTATCACTATGGAAGTAGATTACCTACCCTTCCTTCCGAGTAGTGGCTGGTGGGTTTGAACTGCTAGCCTTCTGGTTAGCAGTCAAGTGCCTTAGGCACTACGCTACCAGAGCTCCTATAGGTATATATATATAGTATCTTGCAAAAGAAAAGAAAGCTCAAAAGAAAAATGAGGGCAACAGTTGCAAAAGCATAAACCTATGAAAAGGTATTAAACCTCATTAGTTGTCTGGGAAATGCAAATTAAAGTCACATGGGATATCGCTATATAATTTTCAGGCTGGCTAAAATTTTAAAGGCTAACAATAGCAAAAGTTAATGAGGATACACACTCTTAACACACTCATACACTACTACTGGGAAAGGATACTGGCATTCTGGAGAGCTGAATACAGGCATACTCATGACCAAGCAATTCCACTCCTACCTACATACCCAACAAAAATGTGTGAACATCTACACTAGAAGATATATACAAAATGTTCACAGTAGCAAAAATTTGGAACAACCCAAAGATCCATCAACAGTAAAGGGATATATGGTATGTTCACAGAATGACTACTGTTGTTGTTGTTAGGTGCTGCTGAATCTATTCTGACTCAAAGAGACCCTATGTATAAAAGAACGAAACCCTGCCCAGTCTTGTGCCATCTTCACAATCCTTGCTAGGTTTGAGTCCATCATTGCAGCCACTGTGTCAGCCCATCTCACTGAAGTCTTCCCCTTCTTCTTTGACCCTTCACTTTACCAAGCATGAAATTGTTTTCCAGGGACTGGTTACTTCTGACCACAAGACCAAAGCAGGTGAGACAAGGTCTGGCCATTTCTGCTTCCATGAAGAATTCTAGCTGCACATCTTCCAGGATAGATTTGTTCATTCTTCTGGCATTCCATAGTATTTTCAGTATTTTCCACCAACACAATTCAAAGGCCTCAATTGTTCTTCAGTCTTCCTTATTCACAATCCAGCATTCACATGCACATGAAGTGACTGAAAATACCAATAGTTTCGGTCAGGTGCACCTTAGTCTTCATAGTGACATCTTTGCTCTTCAACACCTCAAAAAGGTCTTTTGTAGGTTTTCCCAGTGCAATATGACAATTATGCAGCAATAAATATGGGTTATTTTTACATATTACAGTATCAATCTCACAAAAATACAGTTGAAGTAAAGAAGTCACACACAAAGGGATATATATTAAATGATTCTATTTACATAAATCAAAAGCCATCATTTTAGGTTTTACTGCCACTATTTAACCATTTCTGACCAATAAAAACTGCAATATCATGTGGTTCAAACTAATTAGGTGATAGAAATCAGAATAGAATTTTGGAAGGAGACAGGGTAGGGTAGTGATTAGCAAACAACAATGAAAAGGGCTTAGTGATGTTTTTTTCTTTACCTGGATGGTAGTTACAGTGTTTCCTCTGCAATAATTTGGTGAGAATATATTTGTCATTTTTATACTTTTCTGTATAAACGTTACATATCAATAAAGTAAAAAACAAAACAAAAATGGCTTTTTAAAAACTTTTTTGTATTTAGCAGAAAAGTGTTTTTAAAGATGGGTAGAAATATACCACTACTATCAGAAAGACAATACCGTAAGCTCAATAATAAATGACAACTGGTATTCAGCTTTAATTAGTAGATGACAATAGAGTAGTTGGAGCTCTAGGAGAACTGAGTACACATGACCTTTCCAGCTGGGTCTGCTGCAGTGCTGGGACTCCCCTGCTCTAGTCAAGTACCGTCATGTATGAATATGGGCCAGTGTTACCAATTCTTCCTTTTTCATTTTATCCACACCCAGAGAAAAGCTGGATTTTAATGTTATCCCTCCTTACCCTCAACAAATACTCTGCCACCATTACACACCAGTTAGGGTGGCTAAACTTAAGAAGACCAAATATACCAACTGTTGGCAAGTATATGAAGCAACTGGAACTCATATACTGTTGGTGGGAGTGTTCAATGTTGCAGCTACTTTTAGAAACAGGTAGTTTCTTAAAAAGCTAACTGTATAATAACCATATCCAGTCAACTCTCCTAGATATCTGGCCAAATAAAATAAAATAAAAAAACCCTAGTATTCAAATGTAAAAACAATCCAAATGTCCATTCATAGATGAACAGATAAGCAAATCTTGGCACATCTGTATGACAGAATACTACTTAACAATAAGGAATAAACTATAATCATAACATGGATGAATCTCCAACTATTATGCTGAATGAATGAAGTCAGAACAAAACTATATTTTAAAATAAAATACATATTTTCCATTTACATAAAATTCTAGAAAACACAAAACTAATGTAGAGTACTGAAAGCAGATCTGTGGTTATCTGGGAATGGGGAAGAGGATTACATTATAAATAATACAAGCTAACATGTTCACTATCTTGACTGTGGATGGTTTCACACAGGTGTATGTACACATCAAAACTTACGAAATTGTGTACATGTGAGTACAGATTATTATACTTCACTATATCTCAGTAACGCTGGGGGAGGAAGGCTTACAGAGTTAAAACAATCCTCTGTTCCCTTAAACTGATACCCTATTCTTCCCATTTTATGTTTTTTTATTTTTACTACACAAACAGCTTTAACCATGTGAAATTGCAACTATTTTAATATTTTTACTATCCACAAACATTGTGGGAGCTCCTGTAGCATAGTGGCTAAGGCACTTGACTGCTAACCAGAAGGCTGGTGGTTCAAACCCACCAGTCACTCCTCGGAAGGAAGATGGGGCAATTTACTTCCATACTGATACTTCCTTGGAAACCCAAGGAGGGGTCGCTATGAGTTGGGTCCGACTTGACCACACATATACAACAAGCATTGTATAGTATTACATGTCAAGTTTTAAAATGTTATGAATGTGTTTCATCATCAATCTGGTTTTTCATTGTATTCACTTGAGTTTTGTGTATTACATGTACACTTACTCATTTTCAATTCCACTGTATGAGTAACTTTTTAAATACCAATCTATTATTTTGTTGATGGGTATTATTGTTAGGTGCCATAGAGTCAGTTCTGACTCACAGTGACCCTATGTACAATAGAACAAAATACCCCTGCGCCATCCTCACGATTATTGCTATGCTTGATCCCATTGTTGTAGCCACTGTGTCAAATCTATCTTGTTGACGGTCTTCCTCTTTTTCACTGACCCTCTACTTAATTAAGCATGATGCATTTCTCCAGGGACTGGTTCCTTCAGATAACGTGGCCAAAGTATAAGAGAGGAAGTCCTGCCATCCTCATTTCTAAGGCGAATTCTAAATGTACGTCATTCAATACAGATCTGTTTGTTCTTCTAGCGGTCCATGGTATATTAAATATTCTTTGCCAACACCATACTCAAATGCATCAATGCTTCTTCAGTCTTCCCTGTTCAGTGACCAGTTTCACATGCATATGAGGTGACTAAAAACATCATGGCTTGGGTCAGGTGCTCATTTCTTAAGGCTGACTATTTGGGAGTGAAATTATTATTGATAAGATAAATTACTTTGATGGATTTTCCACTGCTAGACCATGCATGTATTCTTAGGATGGATCCTACTTGTTTATAACTTAAAAAAAAAAAACAAAACACCACCTTGCCAATGAATCATCATATCTGTGATTCCAGACCTAGTCTTTTAGTTAGATCATTAGATTCAGTTCTCTGTAAGGTTGTTTTGGCTATAGGAATTTATCTTAGGGTGCTCTGATGGCACAGTCATTAAGTGCTCAGCTGCTAACCAAAAGATCAGCGATTCGAAACCACCAGTCATTCTGCAGGAGAAAGATGAGGCAATTGGCTTCTGTCAAGATTTACAGCTTTGGAAACCCTATGGGGTAGTTCTACTCTGTCCTACAGGGTCACTATGAGTTGGAATCGATTCAATGGCAGCAGGGTTGGATTAAATCTATCTTTAATTAGCAAATCTGAAACAGAATACCTCCACTGGTCACAATGGAGAGTAGGTTTCCATCATCATATATATTAACGGAGTAATTCAACATCTCAGCTGTGCCAAATGAGCCATATTCTTGGGCTTCTTTGTAGTTTCTCAATACAGTAGAATTACTCAAGTCTTCACCTTCATTTGAATTAATGCAGGCTCTGTTAATTGGAAATCAACAGTAAATATCAAAATTCATCAAATTTCTTACCTTTCTGAAGATCATATATAGTTTCTCTGTTATCTTATTATCCTATCTATTTTAACACAAAAAATACAATTAACTGCCTGGTTCTGATACATTTGTTTCACAAACTCACCAGTAAATATAAGTTAAGATTACTTATATATGATCCAGTACTTAACTGAAGTGGTACAAAGGACCGTGGGAACACTGTCCATCACAAAACCCTATGTAAAAAAGCACCTAACCACTTAAGAAGTTAGAACAAAAGCTTGGCCTAGGATAGCAGAATGGCTCAAGATGCTTTTGACACATAGTTGAAGTCTTACTTCCCACTGTTCTTTCAGTATTATTGGTTTCATGAATCCAACAGCTTATGAAGGCTCTTTGAAACTAGAAACTAGACAAACTATACCAAACTTTGGTCCCAGAGTTATAATAACTTTAGACAAACATGTAAAGTTTTTCTACATTGCTTTATGATTATCCTTGTCCTCTTTACCCATTTTATAAACTTTTTAAGTTATTAAATACATATTCCAAACACTTTAGTAGAAGATGGGTTAAAAACAAAATAAATTTAACAATATAAACAAAATCATAAAAGGAATGTATATCATTTAATTCGGTCAATATTATGTTTTTATCTGTCAGACCCCTGTGAACTTATTTTTTAAGATTCGAAGAACTGGGTTCTGACAAGCTGAATAAGTCAAATAAAATTGCTACAGTGAATAAAAGAAAGCCTACTACTATAGTATAGCTAGGGCATTTACTATAAACGTTGTTAGCTGTTGTAAAGTCAATTCTGACTCATGGTGACCCTATGTGTGCAGAGTATAACTGCCTTGTAGGATTTTCAAGGTTGTGACCTTGTGGAAGCAGATCTCTAGGCCTGTCATCCAAGCATCTCTGGGTGGGTTCAAACCATGAATATTTTGGTTAGTAGTAGCCATCTATGCCACCCAGGCACTAACAAACTACAAATTTAGAAAGAAGGATCCTGATGTAGTTTGTTTCTAATATACACTCCAATGTGTGATCAAAATAATTAAGGACATTGCAAAAGACATAAAAACCTAGCAAGGTCAACAATTGCTGTTGTTGTTCTTATGTGCCATCGAGTTGGACTCGACTCACAGCGACCCGTCCATGGGTTTCCAAGGTGGTATCACTACGGAAGTAGATTGCCCAACCTTCCTTCTGAGGAGTTGCTGGTGGGTTTGAACCACCAGCCTTCTGGTTAGCAGTCATATGCCTTAGGCACTACTCTACCAGAGCACCATTAGCAAGGTCTAGGAAACTGAAAACTGATGGGGAAAATAGCAAAAAGAAAATAAAATTAGTGTATAAAGGTTGAGATTATTAAGTAAAATGTATACTGCAAAATCCTCCAAATGTGCTGGAGAGAGTAACACATTTGGCTCTAAAATGTGTATAACTGGCCACCGTCCTTTATAGAAATCATGTAACCATACAGTCCTATCTCTTTACTATCTTCATTTCTCCATTTCCATCATCACTTTTTTTACCTAGGTCACTAACTTCTACTGCTTGGATGACTAGTGTCCTGTTGATGGTGGGCCCACTTGGCCTTCATATTGTACCTACAGTGATTTTAAGTTTGATCATCTCTGACTCCTGCTTACAACTTTCAGTTTCCTAACAGCTCAGGATAAAATTGAAACTCCCTAACAAAGTCCCGCATCATCAGACCTCAGTTGATCTCTCCCATCTCCTCCTCCCATTGTCCTCTGAACCTATTCCTCTTTTCAACCCTCTTTTCTACCCTTTGTCCTTAGCTAACTTATGCTGATCCTTTAAGTCACAATTTGACATCATTTCTAGAAAAGCTTTCTTGATACTTCCTAGTCCAGTCGGAATATTCCCAATACACATTCCACAGAGCAGCTTCTAAAGAGTAAACTTGGTGTAAAGAATGTATTCAACAAATACTTGTCAAATGATTAAAGAATTGATGCATCATCTTTAACAATATTCTGACAGTAAATACAATGACATACTTCACAGGCCAGCTTCTTATAACTCTCAACAAAATGAGTGACTTAATAACACAAGTCTAAATTATTTCTGACTTCACAAACTCTACAGATGGCAAATATGAATGTGGCACAAGGTTATTACTTTGTAAAGGTCTGGTTTGACTCTTACATACTTGGTTTCATATTAATGTCACGTATACCAAAACTCTGGGCACCCCTGAAGGATTAGATAAAAACATTTTTAAATGATGAAGATCTATAAAACACAGAGTTTACCTCCAGGTTTCACCATCATTCCATACCAAGCAGTCATATACAGGGCCAGGATCACTGTATTTTTTTTCAAAAGAATTTAGTAATTCCACTTGACTTTGAAGCTCTTCTTTGATTAGCTTATTTGCCTAAAAAAATTAGAAAGATATTAATATTAGTACATTTTGTGTTTCTGAAAAGATAAATTACAAACAAAGATACAACATGACCCAGCAGTATGACCATCTTACCCTAGGAAAAAAAATGCAAGAAATCTTTATTTTTATATCTATGTAATTCATAGTTCAATTTAATAAAGCAGATAATAATTAACATACATTTTAAAAATAGTATTTCCTTTCACTTGGTCTTTCATTCAGGCACTTGGCTCCACGTACCTTGGGAAAGATACTGTGCTGCGTGTTGAAGATATCATTTGGTCAAGACATGTATTAGTCACATACCTATAATTTGTATTATAGTTAAGTTCCAGGGTTAAGAAATGTCCAACTTACAGACAACTTCTACTTTAGAATGGACTGCCATAAAGCCTATTCTATTACAAATTTGAGTTAAATGTAACAGTTCATAACAACCAATGCACACACTACTTTATAACAATCATGAAAATACCATGGCTTCTTCAGTGGCTCATCGGCTTGACTGTCAGCCTTTTTAAGGTGAATCATGCTTCTGTTAACACTATGTTGAGTGTGTAACTTGGTATGTGTCTTAAATTTTTTTATTTACCTTTGAAAACATACCTCCAAAGCGTAAATTTGATCCAAGTGCTGGTGATGCATCCATCATAGAAAACAATCACGATTGAAATTAAAGTGGAAACAATAAAGTGATTGCAAATCAATCACTGGAAAGGGTTAGACTACAATTGGTCAATGATCAGAACAATTTTAAAGTATAGTGTGAATAATGGAACTCTGCCCTGAGGAAAGCTACAATTATTTAACAAGCAATTCAGTGATTTAATTAACTGAAATGGAAAGGCTACTGAAAATGTTAGATGATCAAAAGCAGTATAATATGCCAAATACCTTTATATTAGTGTTCCAATTTACCGACAAATTGGACTTAAAGATCTTGTTTGTAACCTAGGGACTCCTGTGTAACTAATTTCTAAAAGTAACTCTAAAATAAAATTGCTATAAAATGGGTTACAGACCTTTAGATTTCATATCAGGATCATTTTTATTTCCAATTTATTTGTTAAAAACCCAGATAATGATAAAAACCACAAGTCATCTTACTTTCTTTAGAATTTACTCAATTAAATACATACAAGGATTTAATATTATAAGTTAAAATTTACTTTGGCTTTCTAATTATGAATGTGAACAAATGCTTTAAAATAGATTCATGTACAAACTAAATAACAACTGACATTATCAACTGTTACCCCACTGAAACACTTAAAAATGTTGGTATTCAATAATTTGGTAAACCTTTCAAGCACATGTGAAGTTTCTTAAATAATTAAAGACAAATGTGAAAGGCTATAAATTCTAAAACCAAAATAAATAATGATACATTAAGCCATGTCAAAGACATTCAATTTTATTTTAAAAAATAAATTATACCTCTAGATTCACTGTGTTTACTGTATTTAGATCTAGAGCACAGGTTGACAAATCATGGCGCATCACACATATGCAGCCTATGGCATGGTTTTGTAAATGAAGTTTGCCTGGAATATAGCCACAACCATGTCTTATGTATTATCTATGGGTGCTTTATGCTATAAAGGTAGAGTTGAATAGCACTAACAAGATTGTTGAAAACATTTACTAACTGGTGCCAGAAAAAGTTAGCCAATCTGATCTAGAATATTAAATACTGTTCGATAATATGCTTCAAATTTAAGTTCAGTAATTAGCTGTGAAATCTTAATCAAGTTACTAATTTTCATGATAACCCTGAGACCATAAATAGAATAAAAGGTGATTATCTCATCCAGCGATCACCAAACTTCACTTGAATCAGAATCATTCAAAGGCCATTAAAAAGAAAGATACTATATCCTACTTTTAAAATCCGAATCCTAGGAGATAAAATCCAGAAATCTGAATTATTTTTTAAAGCTCCCTTGGTGCTTTGGAAACAGTCATTGGTATCAATTCCATAAACCAACTAGCATCTGGGAAGCAAGGAGTATAGCCTAATATTTTTTAAAATGAGAAGCATGTGACCCAATATGTTAACTGAAAAAAAGTATTTTGAAACTCTTTTAAAAAATATGTAATATTAACATACTTGTAGAATATATTAGATTGAATCCTGTAAAATTGAGGCTATTCAACCATTTTTATCTATAAAACCTGGCAATTTCATATATACCTAATATGTATGTATTAAGTTGTCCTACACTCACATAAATAGTACAAGTGAATAAAAACTTAATTTTCACATGTTCTAAAAATCTTAACTTATGATTCATTTTTATTTATTCAATGTCAACTATACTCATTATTAGAAACATACAATCACAAAAACACTTTTGGTATACAAAATATAATAAAAATGGATAATGAAGTCCAGATTCCTCCTTCTATAAAGTTAGCCATATATGTGTGTAGCACCTGAAATACTATATTTAATATGTCTAATAATAATGGCCTGACATAGAAAAGTATATGTTGTTGTTGTTGTTGTTATGTGCCGTCGAGTCGGCCCCGACTCATAGCGACCCCTCCTTGGGTTTCCGAGGCAGTATCACTACGGAAGTAGGATTGCCCAACCTTCCTTCCGAGGAGTGGCTGGTGGGTTTGAACCGCCAGCCTTCTGGTTAGCAGTCAAGTGCTTTAGCCACTATGCTACCAGAGCTCCTAGAAAAGTATATAGTTGTTAAAAAAAAAAAAAAAAGATCTATACATAGTTAAGTAAATAAACGCTCAGGAGCTCTGGTAGTGTAGTGCCTAAGTCATCTGACTGCTAACCAGAAGGCTGGTGGTTCAAACCCACCAGCCACTTCTCGGAAGGAAGATTGGGCAATCTACTTCTGTAGTGACACTGCCTCAAAAATCCAAGGAAGGCTTGCTAAGTGTTGGGTCTGACTTGACAGCACTTAACAACAACACAACAAAAGTTCTATTTTTATGATACAGTCCAACCCAAAAAAAAAAAAAAACCCCAAACTCACTGCCATCAAGTCAATTACGACTCATAGTGACCCCCCCCCCCTTTGAGTTTCCAAGGTGGTAAATCTTTACAGAAGTAGACTGCCCAGTCTTCCTTCCAAGGAGTAGCTGGTGAGTTTAGAACCACCCACCTTCAGGTTAGCAGTCAAATGTCTTAGGCACTATGTCACCAGAGCTCCTTATAATACAGCCCAGTGGTTCTCAATCCTAGCTGCACATTAACCAAAGCTCCTAGAGAGCTTTAGAAATTGCCTATATCTTCTGCAAGGTGTTTTATCATTAGGGGACAAGCAATGACAGCAAAAAAGCTTTTCATGTTATTCTAACATGCACCCAGGGTTGGAACCACTAATATAATTCCACGTTTGATTAAGGAAAGGTACATTCATGCATTAAAAGAAAAATCAGGAAAGATAAACAATGAGCTGCATCATCTCTGGGAAGTGGTATTATTGAGGTTTCACTTGCATTGTCCAAAGTTTCTACAACTACATGTTATTTTCATAATAGATAAAAACATTATTTTCATTTCACAAACTGATTCAAAAAACAATAGCAAGGATATAGAAAAATAGAACTATTACACACTTCTTGTGGAAATATGAATTAGTACAACCACTTTGTGATCAAACAAAAGACATAAAGAATATTCAAAATAGCATTATTCAAAAGCATTGAAAATTGCCAAAAACAAAGGTCAATTTAAAGAGCGGATAAACTGTGGTACATTCATACAATGAAATATTACATTAGCAGTAAAAGTGAACAACCTACTGCAACATTCCACAACATGGATTGAATTTGAACCAACTTTGAACAAAAGAAGGTACACATAAAAGTATACATAGTGATGATTCCATTTTATAAAATTCAAAGCAGGCAAAATCATTCTATGATATTTGAAGTCAGGATAGTGGTTGCCTTTGGTAAGGAGGAAGTAAGTAATGGTTAGGAAAGCCTAATGAAAAATTTCTGGGGTGATGCTCACCATATCTTTACACAAATAACACGCACATTGAACTGTCTTTTCCTTTGCCAACTGTGCCTTTCCCACAAGGTATCAACATGAGCATGCTATGCCAACTTTTCTTTACATAGTATACTGTGCTGACAATAATTCTCTAGGGGTGTGTGTATGTGTATGTGTGTGTGTGTGTGTGTGTGTGGCAGGCATAAAAACTTATAACATGCATTATTTGCATACAAATATAGTATATATAATTATATATTACATAAATATAGTATATATAATAGATATATTACACTCCTCGTAATCACCGTTTATAACTTATGTACATTTCGGGAAGTACATTAGATGTTAATTAAAGCAATTGGCTTTAGGATAAATAATAAAATTAGCAAAATTAACTAATCAGAATCTTAACTCTCTAAGAACTCTATGGTAATATTTACATAAAAACAATCAGCACGAACTTGAGAAGGGTTATTGTTGGCAGTATCAAACTCTTCCTGTTTTCTACAGGCTTCTGCAAGGGCCACTCTGTGAACAGGGTCCCAAATTTTTTCCTTCCGTTCTTTCTGCAAAGATAGAAAAACTGTCTTATAATTAGGTTAACAATATATTCAGGTATATCTAGACAATCATTTATATGTGGATCTAGTTATCAACTGTGATACAACACAATTTTCATATAAAATAACAAAAAAAAGAGGTAAAAAAGTACTTGACTGCTAACCAGAATGCTAGCGGTTCAAACCCACCAGCCACTCCTCGGAAGGAAGGCTGGGTAATCTACTTCCGTAGTGATACTGCCTTGGAGACCCAAGGAGGGGTCGCTATGAGTCGGGTCCAGCTTGATGGCACATAACAATAACAACAGTAAGTCACGTAATCAAGAAATTATTCAATTATTAAAAATTGACTGGTTAATTCATTGCATTGAGGTTTTAAGAGAAGTTGACTGAGATACAACCAAAATGCATTTTTATATAGTAGGAACTACTCACAGGAAGTAACAATAATCCTCCAATTTAAATCCCCCTTGTCTCCAAAGAATTATTAATATCATGTCAGATACATAACCAACTTCCTAGTCATTTAAAGTAAAAGGAAATATTGTATTCTGGGCCTTTACAAAATTGTAAATGCCTGAAGTCAAATGCATAAGAGGACAGGAATAAGACTACAGATGCGTTTTGATGGATACACAGGCTTCCCCAATTTCCATTTTCTCTCTAGGTTATCTTTTTACCATCCTCTTTGACTTGATAGGAAATTAGTCTTTTTGACTGAAATTTGTTTTACATTCAATTCCAGGGTCTTTAACCTATAGTGCTTTCCCAATGGAAGTCTGCTAGTGAAAGGAATCCTTTCTAGTAAATAATCTTTTCAACTGAGCTAAGGATGGTTCACCACAACGTACCCACTCTGTGTTTGCAGCATATTAACATATACCTTAACACAGTTGATCACATTTAATACAGTAAAACCAAAACCAAACTCACTGTAATCAACTTGACTCTGACTCACAGCAACCCCCACTGAGTTTCCAAAGCTGTGAATCTTTACAGAAGCAGACTGTCCCATCTTTCTTCCATGGGCTGGTTAGTGGGTTCAAATCAGCTAACCTTGTGGTTAGCAGCCAAATAAATGCCTTAACTGCTATATCACCAGAGCTCCTTATATTTAATATGCTACATAAAAATACTTTAGTACCCATATATGGTTTGGTCTGCAATTTTTAAACAAAATGTTGTTGTTGTTAGTTGCCACTGAGGCAGTTCAGACTCACAGAGACTTTATCTACAACAGAACAAAACACTGCCTGGACAGTCCTGCACCATCCTCACAATCATTGTTATGCTTCAGCCCATTATTGCAGCCACTATATCTATCTGCCTTGTTTAGAGTCTTCCTCTTTTTTTGCTAACTTTCTAATTTACTGAGAATGATATTCTTAAGTAACAGTCCTTTCTTATAACACCAAAGTATCAGAGACAAAGTCTCACCATTTTTACTTTAAGGAGTACGCCAGATGCACTTCTTTCAAGACAGATCTGTTTGTTCTGGCAGTCCATGGTATATTCAGTATTATTCGCCAACAACTTAATTCAAACCCATCAGTTCTTCTTTGGTCTTCCTTATTCATTGTCCAGCTTTCACAATCATATGAGGCTATTGAAAATACCACTATTTGGGTCAGGCACACAGCTTAGTCTTCAAAATAACACCTTTGCTATGTAACACTTTAAAGAGGTCTTTTGCAGCAGATTTGCCAAATTCAATACATCATTTGATTTCTTGATTGTGGCTTCCATGGAAGCTGATTGGGGACCCATGTAAAATGAATTCCTTGACAATTCAATCCTTTCTCCATTTACTATAAAGTTGCTGTGATAGTTAAGTTTGTGTGTCAACTTGGCTGGGCCTGGTTCAGTGACTGGGCAGCTGGATGTAGTATTCCCCATGATGAGACTGGTAATCAGGTCCATGGTGGAGTCAACTGTGAGCAGCTGAGTAGCTGCCCTAGGGATGTAGGCTGCTTCCTGTACATAATGGAAGCCTTGGGGAATGGTCTCTAGCTTATGGCACACTTGAACCCTTCATGTAGCCAAGTTATTCAGCAGCCTGCCAGGCTCTGCCTATGCTGGGACTTTCAATGGACTTGAATCAATGGCTTGCCATGTGGTTTAGTAACATCGGGACTGTGGCTTTTTACTTGTCAACCTTGGGCTTGTCAGTCTCAGCAGCCAGCAGCTGTCTGAATGAAGAAAAGCCTCTAGCTCCAGTGAGCCAGGAGCAGGAGGCAGAGCTAAAGCCCAAGGCTGAGGGGCTTTCACCCAGCCCCTAGAGCCTGGCACTTTGAACTCGGACTTAACACCTCCAAATTGTAAGAATAAACTCCTGTTTGTTCAAGCCATCCCATTTGTGGTATATTTCTTGTCAGAGCAGCACTTGGTAACCAAAACAGTTGCTTATTGGTCTAGTTGTGAGGATTTCTGTTTCTGCTGAGGTGTAATACACACTGGAGGCTGCAGTCTTCAATCTTCATCAGTAAGTGCTTCAAGTCCTCTTCGTGTTCAGCAAGCAAGAGTGTGTCATCTGATTATCATAGATTGTTAATGAGTTTTCTTCCAATCCTGATGCCATGTTCTTCTTCATATATTCCAGCTTCTTGGATGATCTGCTCAGCAAACAGACTGGAAAAGTATGCTGAAAGAATACTACCCTGATGCACATCTGTTCTGATTTTAAACCATGAAATATCCCTTAGTTCTGTTCAAACGACAGCCACCTGGTTTATATAAAGGTTCCTCCTAAGAACAATTAACTGTCCTGAAATTCCCATTCTTTCCAAAGTTATTTATAATTCTTTGCTTTCAGGCAAGATCCATCTGATACCAGCACTGACATCCCTCCTACCATGTCTTCTTCTGAATCTGGCTTGAATTTCTGGAAGTTCCCTGTAACCATTTTTGAATTATCTTCAGCTAAAATTTATATGCGTGTGATATTAACGATACTCTTCGATAATTTTCATATTCTGTTGGATCACCTTTCTTTGGAATGGGCACAAATTGGATCTCTTCCAGCCAACTGGCCAAGTAGCTGTCTTCCAAATTTCTTGGCATGGATGAGTAAGTGCCTCCAGCACTGCATCCATCTACTGAAATATCTCAATGGATATTCTGTCAATTCCTGGAGCCTTGCTTTTCGCAAATTCCTTCAGCGTAGCTTCGACTTCTTCCTTCACCATCATTGGTTCTAGATCATATGCTACCTCCTGAAATAGTGGAACACTGACCAGTTCTTTTTGATACAGTGACTCTGTATATTCCTTCCACTTTTCTTTCGATGCTTCCTGCATCATTCATTATTTTGCCCATTAAAAAAAAAAAAAAATCATTGCCATTGAGTCAATTCGATTCACAGTGACCCCTTCCTTGGGTTTTCGAGGCTGTATCTTTAAAGAAGTAGACTGCCCAATCTTCCTTTTGGGGAGTGGCTGGTGGGTCTGAACCACCAGCCTTCTGGTTAGCAGTCAAATCCCTTAGGCACTATGCCACCAGAGCTGCCATTCCCAGCACAGTAGACCATATTACTGATTGAAAATTGCTAATACCAATCCATTTTGGCTCACTTGGTGTAATGGCTAAGGCATTTGACTGATAACCAGAAGGCTGGTGGTTCAAACCCACCAGCCACTCCTTGGACAGACGACTGGGCAACCTACTTCCACAGAGATACTGCCTTGAAAACCCAAAAAGGGGTCGCTATGAGTTGGATTTGACTCGAAGAGAGTGAGGTTTTTTTGTTTTAACGCGCAGAAATCAATCTATATGCATTCCACTTCATTTTTGATGACATCTAATTATCCTACATTCATACTGTGTACATTCCACACTCCAGTCATTAATGAATGTTTAAAGTGGTTTATTCTCATTTTGAGTAATGCCACATCAGCAAACGAAGGTTCTAAAAGCTTTACTACATCCATGTCATTAAGGTTGCCTCTACTTAGAGGAGGCAGCTCTTTCCCAGTTGTATCTTGAATGCCTTCCAATATGAAGGTCTCCTCTTCTAGCACTGTATCAGACAGTATTTCACTGCCATTCATAAGATTTTGGGTGGTCAATTCTTTCAGAAGGAGACAGCCACATCCTTCTTCCTAGTCTGTCTTAAGTCTAAAAACTTTGCTGAAACCTGTCTACCATGGGTGACCCTGCTGGTATTTGAAATACTGGTGACAAAGCTTCCAGCATCAGAGCAACATGCAAGCCACCACAGAATGACAAATTGACAGGTGAGTGGTACAAAACAAAATTATCTAATAAAAGCAATGTAAATTAATGTTTTGTAAAAATTTTAGCAGGCAAAAACTGAAATTTAAATCTGACAAATAAGGGTAGGTTTTATATACATATATAATATACTAAGTAATATGCATGGTTCACAGACCCCTGGGGAAGCAAGTAACACTGTAATTAGATGGAAGAGCCCATACATTTGACCCAGGAAGCTCATTTTCAAGGATTACATTTTGCTTTACAGTTTAAACCCTGATTTATATCAGCCACCAGTGTTATGGCAATATTCTAAAGCGGCCGTTTCCTATACAGTAGCCATTAGCCATGTTTTTATTTAAACTTAAATTTTAAAACATCAAATAAAATGAAAATTTCAATTGCTGGGTCACAATAGCCATTTCAAGTTTTCAGTGCTACTTGTCATTAGTGGCTACCATACTGGATAAATAGACATAGAACATTTTCCACTATCACAGAAAACTAACTGTATTGAATTTCTTCTAAAGCATACTCCATATCACTCAGTTTACAATTCTTATTTCCTTGATGATATATCTGTGTTTCCTATACTTCAGCTGTTTTGGGTCTCAATAACCCTTTCTTTAATACTGAATGATGAAATCTTGGGATCAAGAAGACTAGTTAAACAGCAAGTAAAATGGGGAAAATCATCACAGAAACTACAGAACAAAAAAGGGGGAGATTGGGCGAACCATCTTTAACCCTTCTGGAGTAATGAAATCCTTTAAAAATTCAATGGAAGTTATATGTTATCTCCCAGAAAAATACAAATACACAAAAACTTTGAATGCAATTTCAGTTGATTCAGATTCTCTAAACTTACCCATGCATCTACGGTTAAAGAATCACTATTTTAAGTGGATAGTATTCAACTTATCAGAATTTTTCTTTAAACAGTCACTGCTACTTAAAAGTCCACAAAATAAAAAAGAGTGAAGAGATGTCCAAATTAGAACTGACTCACTGATAGTACCCAACAACAGGAATAAAATTTGAAGAAGATATGTAAGTCATCGATAAGTTGTACATTACCTGCATCCTTTCTTTGAGAGCCTTTGGATAGAAGTCATAGCCATTTTTTATGCCAATATGATATTTGCCTGAGGGATTTGTCCAGCTTGCTGGAATCTATTTAAAAAAAAATTTAAATTGGTCATTCACTAAATACTTTGCAGTTCCAATAGCAGACTACTAAGAAAAGTATTTCACTTCTACTTTAATGGCTCAACTTGGATAAACAGGCTCACACTTGGGCACTATTTTTAGTATTGCAAATAGTCAGTGAGTAGTATAGTGTGTAAGGCATTTGACTGCTAACCAGAAGGCTGGCAGTTCAAACCCACCAGGTACTTCATGGAAGGAAGATTGGGCAATCTACTTCTGTAAAGATTTACCACCTCAGAAACCCAAAGGGGGTCACTATGAGTTGGAATCAACTAGATGGCAGTGAGTTTGGTTTTTTGGTTTATGGCCTATTTTTCTCATATTCTTAAATAAGGTAGTTCGACTAGAGTAGTATCTTTCATATAAAACCACTAAGATCTTTAGCTCTTAAGCATCAATGAATCCTCATCTTCCCTTTAACCACTCTAAAAAATGAAAAAACCAAACCACTCTCATTGAGTCAATTCTTGCCCATAGTGACCCTAAAAGAGATCAATTTCCTAAATATGTAATTAGAGGAATGCAAATTAAACCACAATGAGATACCCCTAGATTTCCAGCAAATGGAATAAATTAAAGTCTGAAAATATCAAGTGTTAAGGTACTACAACACTGCTATATATTTTAATACAAACACTTTGAAAAATTGTCTAATATCACCTAAAAAGTTATATATCCATGACTCAGCAATTCTATTCCCAATTATATGGACACACACGTATATCCATGTGCACAAGATAGATGTACAAGAATGTTTCTGAAGAATTGCTGATTATCCCATATTAGAAACAACTCAATGGTTCATAAGCAGCAAACCAGACGGAGAGTACTATATACAGAACATGGCATGTTACACAGCAATGAAACAGAACAAATTATTGCTACATGCAACAATATGGATGAACCTCATGGATTTCATAAACCACACTGAATGGAAGACCCAAACTGAAAAACCAAACTCACTGCCATCGAGTCAACTCCGACTTACAGCCACCTCCACTGGGTTTCCAAGGCTGTAAATCTTTATTGAAGCAGACTGCCTCATCTTTCTTCCACAGAGCAGCTGGTGGGTTCGAATCACCAACCTCTGGTTAGCAACCAAATGCCTTAACTACTACACCACCAGAGCTTCTTGGAAGATTCCCAAAATGATACCTAAATAAAGTCATTCACACAAAGTTCAAAAACAGACAGAACTAAACAAGACACTTTACATATCCACACAGACACAGTAAAACTAAAGGAAAGCAAAGAAATGATTATCACAAAAATCAATATAGCACTGTGATCTAGAAGAATACAGGAGCAGATAGGGTGCTATTCCTTGATCTGTGTGGTAAAACACAGTGATGTTCAACTTCATTATTCATTAAATTTGTACATATGTTTTATACACTTTTCTTTGTGAATGTATATTTGACACAATTTTTTTTTATACTTCTATTCCTTCTACCTGCTCACAGAAGTGCCACAAATAACTGATTACTAGTTTTGCAATAAGGCTTAGGAATATCACCCTTACAGAATGAGACTACTGTAGTGTCTAAAGGACCTCACCAGCAGTTGATCTAAAACTGGAAGTAGAGTAAGGCATTAACCATTAGCAGTTTCTATGATATTTGGACATTTATTTTAGCACTGTTAAGCCAAAGAAACATGAGGACTTTACTGGATTGCTTTCTGAAAATTACAAACAAAAGGATTTGGATGTTCAATCAGCCAGAAGGAGCAATTAATAAATTAATAAATTAACTTCTGCCTCCCCAACCTACTGTCCAAATTGGTCTAACCAGGCACTGTCCCTTAAACCAGAAAGAAGGTAGGATGTCAACTTTCTGGAGAAGTTAGTATAGCAGAGGAGAGAGATGATACATACTGAAGAGTCTGCATGAAACCATACTGCTCACCACAAATACTGATAGCCAGGGTTATTTCCCACTCTTCTCCCTAAATCCCAGGCAAAACGTGTTAAAGTTCTCTGGAGTTAACTGACAATCCCAACAGAAAAAATATAGCATATACTGATAGTCTGAGAACCCCAAAAAAGAAACTGCTATATTAACACCCTACAGTGAAGCATACCACAGTTCAACCTCTTACAAGTGGAAAGAGTATCCAATTACCTCTTTTGTGCCTGACTCAATAAGAACAAGCCAGGGATGAATAGATCCCTGAAGAAAAGTTCTAAAATAAAAAGCAGAGAATGAAAGAGGAAACGAAGAAGGGGGAAGGAAGAGCAGAAAGAAATGGGAAGGAAGAGGAGAGAAATGAGAGCAGGAGAAAAGGGAAGAAGCAGAAGAGAGCAAGGAAAAAGAATAGGAAGAAGAGGAAGGTCAATAAAAAGAAGGGAAAAAGATGAAGATAAAACTAAATGAAAAGAACTGAAGAGAAAAATTAAAACAACAATTAATAATCTCAGATATAAAATGCTGCATACAGGATATAAAAAATATGCGATGAGAGAATATGAAGGAGCTTTTTGCAGTTAAACAGGCAAAGTTTAAAAAAGCACTACAAGGGTTATAAGATAATATTGAGGCAATCTCAGAAATCTCTCAGTGGGAAAAAGGGAATGAAAGTATAAAAGACAAGAGAGAGGATCAATTCAAGAGGTCCAATTTCTGATTAACAGGTAAAATAACCATAAAAACAGTAGTGAGGAGAGGAAACTATACAAGAGATAAGGCAGGAAAACTTCTCAGCAGGAACAGACCTGAGAGCTAAATTTTCTTCTTCCACATTATTATTACTAAAGTCTAAAACTAGAAGGAAAAAAAAAAAAAACCTCAAGAAAAAAAAGTCAAACTTTTCAGTTCTTTTCAGAACAGAAAAACAAACTTACTGCCAGCCACTGAGTTGATTCAAACTCATAGCAAATCCCTTTGGGTTTCTGAGGCAGTGAATCTTTACAGAAGTAGACTGCCCCATCTACCTTCTGCGGAGTGGCTGGGGGTTTCAACCACCAACCTTCTGGTTGGCAGTCAATAGCTTAGGCACAGCGCCACCAAGGCTCCTTAAATAAAAAGTATCACCATATTATTTAAAAATTTGAAAATAACTGAATACATCAAAGCCTTCTTTTGGTTGAATGTGAATAGAAAGTGAAGATGGGGGTTAGGAGAGCAGGGGACACAGCTTTTCTTGTTAGAAATCTTCTAAGAGTATTTATACTTTTAAAATTAAAATTAAAAAGTCTCACCATATTGACAGGCTTAAAAATAGATCTAAAGAAGGATGTCACCAATATCAGAAAAGATAAGTATCCATTTCTATCTTTAAGCAATAGTCATATCATCAATTCATAAGGTTTATCTAAAACACGAGTCACTACAGCTATTTAGAAATAAATGACTACACTCAAACTCACTGCTGTCAAGATGGTTTTGACTTATAGCGACCCTTCCTTGGGTTTCCCAGGCAGTATCTCTATGGCAGTAGATTGCTCAATCTTCACTCTGAGGAGTGGCTGGTGGGTTATGAACTGCCAGCCATCTGGTTAGCAGTCAAATGCCTTTTACATGGTTATGTATCTGTCTGAAGGACCCCTGGTGGTGCAATGATTAAGCACTCGACTGATAAAAGGTCAGTGGTTTAGGTTTAAACCTGCTACCTGCTCCATGGGAGAAAGATGTGGCATTAAGATGTGTCAGTTTGCTTCTGTAAAGATTTACAACCTTGGAAACCCTACAGAGCAATTCTAATCTACGCTTCAGAGTACCTACTGAGTCAGAATTGATTCTGAGACAATGGGCTTGGGTTTTTTGGTGTAAATTTGTCTGACTAACTAGGAATGTTCTCCAGTCCCAGAGGAATGTAACCTACAAGAATTTCAAGTATTTATTTGCTCAAGAAATCTACCACAACTCAAAATGGGAAGAAACAGCTGCAAACATCCATTAATAATCGGAACAAGGAATGTATGAAGTATGAATCTAGGAAAATTGGAAGCTGTCAAAAATGAAATAGAATACATAAAGATTGATATCCTAGGCATTAGTGAGATGAAATGGACTGGTTTTACCCATTCTGAATCAGACAACCAGATGATCTACTATGTCAGGCATGACAAATTGAAGAGGAATGGTGTGACATTCATCATCACAAAGAACGTTTCAAGATCCATCTGTACAATGTTGTCAGTGATAGGATAATATCCTTATGCCTACAAAGAAGACCAGTTATTACTACTATTATTCAAATTTATGCAGCAACCACCCAATCCAAAGACAAGGAAATTGAAGATTTTTACCAACTTTTGCAGTCTGAAATTGACCAAACATGCAATCAAGATGTGCTGATTATCACTGGTGAGTGGAATGCAAAAATTGGAAACAAAGAAGAATCCCCGGTAGTTGGAAAATATGGCCATGGTGATAGAAATAACTCTGGAGGTTGCATGACAGAGTTTTGCAAGACCAATGACTTATTCATTGCAAATACTTTTTTCTTTCTTTTTAAAGTACATTTTATTGAAATATAATTTATGTACAGTGAAATACACAAAACTAAAGTGACAGGGGTTGATGCTTTTTTTTTTTTTTTTGGTGCAGTGTTCCCTCCTTCCTGCCCCTCCCAACTCTGGTAACTAACAAAGAAAGTTTCCTTTCATATATAAACCTTCCCTTGAGATTTTAAGTAACGAACTAATATTGTATTTCTCCTTCTGTGATTGATTCACTTCACTCAGCTTAATGTCCTCCACATTTTGGTCATCCACGTTTTGTGGTGTTTTGCAGATTCTACATTATTCTTTAACGTTACAGACTATTGCATTGTGTGCATGTACTATAGTTTGGTTATCCATTCTTCTGTTGATGGGCACCAGGCTGTTTCCATTTTTTTGCTATTGTAAATGGTGCTGCAATGAACATGAGTGCGCATATATCTGTTCTTGTCCTGGCTCTCACTTCTTACTGGTTGTCCTTTGTAAGTAACTTTTTATTTTTCCCGTGCTGCTTTCAGGA